GGCTCCTTCCTTCCCAACCCACGCCCACGCCGCGCCCCCCAGGAGGGAGGAGGAAAGAGCGACCGGGAGAACGCGACCACCGGGGACAGCCAGGGGGTGGGGGGGGAGGCTGAAAGCGCCCCCCAAGACCCGGCCGGAACAACGTGCGCCACCGGCTAGCTCCGGCCCATTCATTCTCCGCGGCCCGCCTGATCCACTGCCTCCTTGCTGGAGAGGCGAGGAAGCGGGGTGGGGTAGGGGGGTCCAGTGCCCGGCTCCGCCCGGCTCCCCTGCCCTCCCCGGGGCCCCGGCCGAGGCGCAGCGTTGCGGGCAGCCCGGGTGCGGCGCGCTGGATGCAGTGTTGCGCGGCTGGGGGAGGGGTTGGATGCAGAGGAGTCTGGTGCAGCTGGACTTGGAGCCCCTACCCAGGGATAGCCCACCGCCAAGAGGGACCAAAATTTAAACGAGGATCCCTGGCCAAGAAAACCGAGATGCAAATCCGGAATGCATCCTAAACGGCAGCTGCTGCGTAACACCCGGAAAAGAGGGGGGAAAAACCCACCAAAGAAAAGAAAAAGAGAAAAGAAAACAACAGACTAAACTAAAAATTTGGGAAGAAATTATGGTCCGGCAGCTGCTAAGCTGGCCTTTGCCACTCCCAACCTACCATAGTGCGAGTGAAGGGAGGAAGAGCAGAGCGAGCGACGGTGGCTGCACCAGCGCAGGGGCTGTGACCGCAGAGGTGCCTCCGCTACTGCTTCTGCTGCTGCTGCTGCTGCTGCTGTTGCTGCTGCTGCTGTTAAAGCGCGGTGTGCACTGCGCGATATGCCGCCGCCACCTGCGCCGCCGCCCAACTGCAAGTAACGGCGCCGCGCCCTCGAGGCTCCCAGCACCACTGCCGAAGTGCGAGCCTGCGCTCGGCGATATATATATGGCGCTCCGTATCCCTCCGCCGTGGCCTTGGCCGCCTCGCTCGGGGGTGGGGCCTTGCCCGCTAGCCCCGCCCCCCGGCGCGCCCGGCTTCCCACCGCCCCGTGCGTTCCGCCACGGCGGGCCCGGTCCGGGACCCGGACGCAGAGGGTTTGGGGTCGGGGAGGCACTGGGCCGTGGGGCAGGTATCGGGAGGAGTCTTCAGGGATGCCCGCCCGTGGCCGAGGCGAGGACAGAATATCTGCATAGCCCCGACTTGGGGCGGCCCTGGGCTTCAGAAGCCGACAGCCCCTCACCCTACACCTACCTGTGGGGCTCCTCTTCACCTCACATCCCCTACCCTTCCGCTGGGGTAGTGGGGTTCCCCTGGCCCCTCGCCACTCCGTCGCGAGCTGGCCGCCTCGGTCCGCGGAGCTGCGAGCAGTCCTAGGGCAGGGGGCGGCCGCGAGGAGCTGGGGGCAGAGGAATCGACCGCACACCTTCAGTTGCCGAGGAATGGGGTCTAGAAGGGGCAAGGCAGTTTTCCTCGTGCAAGAAATTGGTCAGACGTTTTACTTTTCAAAATTTGAAATGATATCTGAAACAAATTACATGTGTTCAATTTGCTGAATCTATGTCATGCTCATATGCTTATTTTAATGTTTTTACGTTTCCACTAAGTAATTTTTTGTATGCCTGAATAATCTCTCTTCCCTACTGTTTTGTTCTCTTTTTTCCTATGGAAAATACTATTCATCCTGACCCCAGTCTTCTTTACACTAATGTACCTGTGCATCTTCTATAGACTTTAATACCCATACTTTGAATTTTTTTGGTTACTTTTCTTGGTCCTGAGAGGGTCAGATTTTTATTCATAGATCCATAGAAACAAAGAAGGGAAAAAAATAGGTACTTAGAACCCCCTAGATTACAGCTGGGAACACACAGCTAATTGACTCTACTATGAAGCTAGACCATATTTTAACACGCAATCTTAATTATATTCCTTTTCCGGTAGTATTTTAATCTTCACATTTACTGATGTTTTCAATTTTCTGTAAACTAGAAAAAGGACAATACAGTTATAAATTTGAAGCCCAGAACTTTGTAAAAAATCTTGACAAAATGCTGCAGTTTCTTTTCTTGCCAAAGCAGAGCACAGAATTTGATCTTTTGTTTACAGGGCCTGGGTGACAGTTGCAAGTTATCATTTGCTTACTCTTTCAGAGAATGTGGCAACGTCTATGACTGACAAGCTCTGCTAGAAAAGGTTTAGCTTGCTTATGTTTGTTTCTGGCTTTGACAAAGTCTGCAGGAAGATGTTTTAAAATAATGGAAAATGTTCAGGCACATTGTAGATGCTACAGGACTTCTGGGATAACCTCAGACAAGCATCTGTGGAACTGTTCTCAGATGTTCCTTCTGGAATGCTGCAGAAAGAGTGAACCTGTTTTACTATTTAAAGAGAGGCTGCAGCAGCAAGCCAGGGAATGGTGCTGCCTTCCCTCTGCAGGTTAGAAAGACATCATTCACTTAACACATCTACCAGCCACCATCATCATCACCTTGTGCTCATGGTGGTAAACCTGAGTGGGAATAAATTGCATATATTAATGGGAGAGTTGGAAATAGGGAAACAGGTGAAAGGGACTAATACAAGGTTAATTTAAAGAATATTCAGTAATACAGTGAGTTACAGTCTAAATGGCCAAACACACTAAAGGAATTTGTATTCCTTTGCCAGGCTTTTCATATAGTAGTTAGTTAAATATATTTTAAAACATAGTATACATTGTATAAGTAGAGGGAAATAATGACCTAGAAATGAAATGTGTTTAATTATTAAGGATTTATTAGCTTCTAATAGTCTTCCACTCTTTCTAATTAAGTTGTAACAATCTCGGTTTTGAAAACCAGGCATTCTCTAAAATAATATTTCTTCCTCTATCATTTAACCTATTTCACCAAATAAAACACTTTGAAACTTTTTCTTGACTTTACCTGCTAAACACTGTATCTCAAAATCATTTTACTTATTACAGTAAAGTTCACTATTGTGATTCTTCATGTTTTACCAGTTTGCTTTTGGTAATTCTTTAATGTATCAAAGCACATCTTCAAGTCTATTGGATTTGTAATGAGGTCATGCTTTACTCAGTTTTATGGCTAGTTTGACACACTGAAACATAAGAAGGTCAAGTGACTTGCCCAAGATCTTGCTGTGAGTCAGTGATGGAGCATAAAATACAGTGTGAGCCCTTGCTCAGAAGTTATAATGAAATTAATATATGAAATTTTTTAATGTACCATGTGAAGGAGTTGCCTATTTCACAAGGCAGGTTTTTCTGACTACCTAGGTGATCACTGGGTTGTCATAAAGATTTCTTTAAGTGAATAAACTTCCTAATTTATGAGGAGACCAGCAACCAGGAAAATAAGCACATTATTGTGAAGTCAATGCACTGAGAATCAAAAGCCTGTGCAATATTTCATGATATTGAGAGAAAATGGTTATTTCATTACTAAAATAAAATAATGTTAAACTGAAGAAAAGTAGGAGAATGCAGCCCAAAGCCAGGAATCACAGTTTGAATATCATTTCTGTCCCTAACCTGATCACCCATCTGAGTCTAAGTACATACTCAGGGGTAAAACAAGAGGTTTGGATTTGATCTAAAAATTCTTTCCAGCTATAAAACCTTGTGCCTGAGATTGTAATATATATGATTATAAATTGTACATGTATAACACATGTCATATATAGATGTCACATATGTGTGTACACATGCAAATATACATATATTTAAGATGAAGAAGACAAATGGAGAAATGGGGATAGTTTAAAAATTAACATTTGCTGAGCATTGGCTATGGCCAGTCCCTGTGTTAAATGTATTATTTCATCCTCTTGCCCATCCTGTGAGGCTGGTATCATTATTATCCTTAAGTAGAAACTGAAGCACTGAGAGATTCAGTGATTTGCCTAATTTAAGTGGGGGAACCCAAAAATCTATTTCAGAGGACCAAGCAAGTAAGCATTACACTCTAAATCTTGTAGTTTAATAGAGTATATTTTTATTTTTTTGGAAGAAGCACAAAGAATAAGATTAAAATTTGGTTTTCATAGAGATACTTCTTACCCAAGGATTTAAAATTAAAATAAGATCATAGAAATGTAGTAATAGCTGTATCTCTCACATAAAGAGTAGAGTGTAGAAGAAAAAGTAAAACATTTGCTTTGCAATGCTTCCAATTGCTGGAGGACACTTCTTATTTTGCATTTTGCGTTTTTTTAAAGCGATGAGGAGACTCGCTCACTGTCAAACACTGAATTGATAACTCCATGCTTTCACTGAAAGAGATGACCCAAGGATCCCTAACTTCAGTCTTGTTCTGTGCTGTTTCTCTGGGAGTTGGCATTTTAAATCAGATAGGTAAGATGGATCCATCTCCTAGCCTTTGTGGAGCTTACACTCTTTTGAGAAAATGACTCTGTGTGTGTGTGTGTGTGTGTGAGTGAGAGAGAGAGAGAGAGACAGAAACAGAGACAGAGACAGAGACAGAGACAGAGGGACAGAGAGACAGAGAGAGAGAGACAGAGACAGAGTTAGAGACAGAGGGACAGAGAGGTGAACAGTAGGCTGGTTTGATGGTTTTTACCAAGTCACCAGTCTAAATTCATTCACTGACTGTAACTATAGTCTGTTGTGTCTTCATGGATGGATTATCTAGTTAGAGGATTTTCCTCAAGCAATTTGTAATTCCAAAGTGGAGCCCCTCACCTGAGCTATCTTCCAGAAAGATGATAGAAAGTAGAAAGTAGAAAGAAATCATGTCTTCTACCTCTCCATCATCCCCAGCTTCCTCCTTCTCTGCCTCATAGCCCAGTATACTTTGATGATTATCCACCATTTGGGATTCTTTACCTCACTAATCATCGCCAAAAGCCGGAACAGTCCTGCTGTTTGTGTGTAGATTTACATTTCATTAAATATTATACATGATTATTACATAAGCTTTACTATCTGTCAACATAAAAATACCTAATTATTTTTCCATTTAAAATTTTGCTTTCTTTTTTTTTTTGCTGTTATCTTTTATAATGACTCTTAGGTAAAGAATATAGGGAAAATTCTAATGTTACATTTAAATTTGAAATGTTACCATCATAACATATTAAGTGTTAGACCATGACTTGGTACCATGAGAAAAATATTATCAATTTTAGCACATGTCTACTTAGTGTCCCATAATTTTAAGTGAATCATAACCAGACTATTACATGTCCTACTGTGTGTTCCAGCTTGTAATGTTTATCAATATGTTTAGTTAATGGTTCAAAATGCCATATTTCCAAACATCACCATTCATTTTGCATGCATGCCCCATTCTTGTTTGTCTGTTGGCTTTTTAAACACTTTCCTTTGTATAGTAGAGGACATATCTTGCCCTCCATTCACGGGGCTTGTGCTTGTTTTGCTAGTAGCTGTGGTGATGGATTTGCACTGTTCTCTCTCTGGCCTGGTCCACCCTTGTAACCAAGGTCATGAATATGCAACACAGCAAGCTGGGGTCAGGAATAGAGAACAGAGCAAAATAACTGACCATTAATGAGACTAGACTCATGACTTGGGCCTCACTAGCTCTATGCTTTAACAGACTGAGCTCTTAAGTCACAGGCAGCCAACAGTTATAACAGACTTAGGGACCAAGTATGTGAATTCAGATTCTAAAATGCCCAATGGGATAAGATCATAGTTTTTGTGCTTTAGTTGTTTAAACCAAATTCAAGATGGTTTTTCTTTTTTTCTTTTTTTAATGCAGTTTATCTACTGAGCAATGTATTCACTAAGCCACATTATTTTGGAAATTCTTGAGTCACCATTTTCCCCATTAATCCAAAAGTCAAATGCAAAAGTAACTTTAATCAACACCCAGCAGTACCCAGCAGCTTCTCATTGCTAGTTATGTGCTATATGTGCCAGGAT